TAGTCAATATAGTTAACTGTTTGTTAGGAGGAGCCACCACTTTATCGAAGGACATTATGTAACCTTCTTTAATTATATAAGTTAAAGCTTTTTGCATACTTTCATAGTATCTTAACAAATTATATCCGATGCAAATCAACGCGCTTTGTTCTTCTGGAGGTTTATCCGTAATTTGAACACCATTGATGTTTTCGAGTTTCCTTGGGGAATATATTGTTATATTTGCATGAACTTTAATTATATTATTTAGGATTTCTTTAACATATATTGCAACAGGTTGTAAATTTGATGTTTTGGCATCAAAAATCTCCAAAATATTTACATTTACCATTGAAATATTTTCTAATATGATCTGCATGTTAACTATCAATGATTCCTCTAGACTCAAACTTGACTCATTCGGTATAAACTTGTACGTCTCTAATGTGGGATCGTTTTGTGTTTTTCTCTTTATAGTGATCTTATCATACAAAGATGTTATTTCTACATTTTTTGACCTGGCAATATTGTAATTAATTTCCACAGGTATAGCATTCTCTTTGCCCAAATCTTTGATTTGATCCATATGACCTTTGGCATCGATGACAACTTTACCCAATCCTATAGGTATATATATGTTTCTAGAATCGTGCTGTAGTATCATGAACTGCAATATGTTGTCCAAAAAAGTAACCCAATTTCCAGTCCATTCAATAAAAGCCATATTTCCAGTCATCTTTTGCAATCCTCTGAATTGGTCTCTGATTAAATGTATGGTATGTTTAGATGTTTAAAACTATGAATACTTTTAAAATTAATACTTACTTGTGGTCGTAACCTCTCAGAGTCATTTCGGTATAGATATCATTCTTTGTAAGCATTGGTAAATTGGTATCAATCACTCTATCTTCGTATGCTATATCACAAGTTTCGACTTCAAATATTCTACCTGTAACCAAAGTTGTGTTTCTTAGGGATATTTCAAAATACCCGGTCTTTTGAATGGTTAAGTAAAAGCTAAAAGTGCCATCTTTAGCTATTGTCGAGGCTATGTGAAATCTAACGTCTTCAAAGCAAATCTTCATATTCTTCATCGATCTATCTTTAATTGAAGCGTAGAACTCCCATATTAGGAATAAATATCCAGTAGCAGGAAAAATAGTTTGTCCTGAAAATGAATTATTTATTATAATTGTTACAAAACTCGTACTAAAACATACCATTAAAAACATGTCCTTTGTAGAAGCTAAATTGATGATTAGATGTGTTTATATGTTTTTCGGTCTCGTTATTTTCATCAACTTTATGTTTTGGTGTCCGAAAGTCATGATCATGTTTCCATTTGATCAATGGAGAAATCATTGCCGTTCCTCTCTTAACTGGCCATTGAATTGGATACAACTTTCCCAAATCGAAATCTATACCCAATGTATACAACTCCCCAAATTTAATTAACATATCGTTCACAGTCGTATTTCTGTGAATCATGTGAACTATTTGAGGAGAATCATCTGCACCATCAAAATCTACACCGATAATCACATATTTATTACTCCATTCATTTGCAGAAGAATTGAGTAAGTTGTTCACAATATATTTATCAGAAACATATTGAAAATTATCAATGTTTGTTTCTGATAAACTATGTTTAGTTAATTTCTTCTGCAGCATGACTTGTCTAAGTTCTTCACTCACAAATTTTGCTGTTCCATTACTTTTTCCAATCAATCCTTTTCCTATCAAAATAACTTTATCCAGACTAATAACTCCTGCAGAATATGCAGCTGTCAGTTGGCCAATCGAAGAATAGATAATTTTACAAATACGAACATTCAATGACTTCAAGGTTTCTGTTATGCAGTAGTGCAAGCAGATAGTTCCAAAAATTTTGTTTCGTTCATTAAAGTCTTCACAGATGTTATTCTTCTTCAAAGCTAA